AGGTGGAGGGGGTTGGGTGTAGTCCGATACACGCTCGCTCATCCGAAAAGGAGGAGAAACAGCCGAGAAATCACCAACTCTTGATCAGTAATTAGCGCGTGTTTGAGATGTCTGATGGCGCTGATGGCGGGAAGCGCCAGCGCGTCGACGGCCCGGCTGCCTCAGGTAAGCCGAGAGAGATGGAGAGGATGGGGTGAAGCATGGTATGAACAGATGATGTGCTGTGTGTCGTCAGGTCATGGGATGAATGGAGTGTCATCATCGCAGCACCAGCAGATGGATGCCGCCCATGACGCATCGGTGGGCCGTCTGTCCCATACACCTTTGAAAGGCCTTTGTGTGGCAGCACGACTGTGTGTGTCTTGTGTGTCTGTGTGCAGGCGGCCGGCTGTAGTCTTAGTTTTGAGGAGGTGCAGCGGCGCTTCTCAGTGCTGCTGGCACAAGTGACACAGGTGAGGACGCGATGACGACACACATCCACACACACAGCTCGGCCGTGTGTTGCTCAGGTGGAGTGTGATGTGACGACCATTGAAGGCTCGTTCGTCGCCAATGTGGCTCCCCAGGTCAGAGCCTTCATCCCATCACCACCGCCGCCATGACTCATTCTTCTCTGTCTGTGTCGATGGCCTCAGGTGCCGTCTGTTGCCTCAAACTGGTCCACCCTCAAGAGCAGCCTCTCGGCGACCTCTGACGCCCTCACCGCCATCACAGAAGGCATGGCGGCCACTCACCCACCCCAGGCCCCTCCCTCACACCCCCACCCCTCCCCGCCAGATGCCCATGCCGCCCCCACTCAAACCACTGACACTACAGCTGCCGCTGATGCCGGCACTGCGGCTCGTCGCACAGAGAATCGCCTACCGTCGGATCTCTATTGCGACCACATCGTCGGCTTCCTCCCTATCAGTGACGCCATCTGCCCGGCAAGGGCGGCAAACACTTTCTATGGTACCGAGCTCGTCGATGAGAACTTTGTGCTCGGTCGCATCGACACGGACCTCGGCCGTCGGTCTCTGCGGGGCCTCATCGACGTGCAGCGCCCGACACTTGAGTACTACACCAAGTGCGCCCATACACTCGAGTACGGCGGGGTGGTGTGGTGTGAGTGGGCCGATTTCATCCGGCTGGCTGACATCTATAAGCTGACCGACGATCTGCCTCTGATCATGTCGACAGAGTGGATGGCGCAGCACTTCCGCAGTAAGGCCGACTTCCACTCGATGCCCGCGGCACTCCGCCAGTACAGCACATTCGGCCACCTTCTCAACTACAAGGGCACCAGTCTGGCGCTCACAAAGCTGGATGAGGCCGATGATGGCGGTGAGGGCAAAAAGGACAAAGAGGAGGCCGAGCCAATGGAGGAGGATGACGGTGGGGAAGGACAGGGCAATGGGGACGGAGAGGAGGACAGGGAAGGAGAGGGCGGTGGGAGCGGGCAGATGGACGAGCCGATGGAGGGGGAGGGGGAGAAGGAGGATGGGCAGCGGTACCGCATCGGAGTCGGCGAGCACCAGTGGGAGTTCGAGACGGTGCCGCTGTCCGGCCTTCCTCCCCGCCATCCCTTCCGCCGCACATACGACCCCCACAACCCGCCCATCCGCTACCTTGCCCGCTACCGCCATGGCTTGCTCTTCCCCTCGTTCACGGCCTTCATCCGACGGATGGTGTTGGCGGCCTGGTGTGGCCAAGAGGGGGTGGGCGAGAAGCGGGCATTTCGGGTGGGGAGGGTGGACGGCGGCGATGAGCGCTATCAGAAGCTGCTGACCGGCACTATCGAGGACCTCACCACCATCGACCTCATCTTGGAGACGAATGACGAGCGGGTGCGACAGATCGTGCTCAAGGGCATGAAGGAGGGCGACAGCATCGCTGCCCGCCTGTTGCTTGGCAATGGCTACATCGAGCTCTACACGAACGAGGCAAGGATCGAGGGCCAGGAGAGGCTGCCTGACCGATTCCCCATCGCGATGTCCCTGGTCCGCCCTCTGCTGACCAAACACGGACTCGCCCACCTCATACCGCAGTAGAGACGACCAGACAGGTGAGCCGGGGGGAGGCAAACAGGCAGTGCCACACATGGTGGTCTGTGTGTGTGTGTGTGTGTGTGATGGTGTGCAGGTTGATTTCTTCCGAGTGTTGGCTGAGACTCTCAAGTAGATTTGCTGGATGGACGGCCTATCGAGTGTTAGCTGACGTGCGTGATCCATGTCTGTGTGAGAGGTGCATGACTCGCCTCTCCCAACTTAATTGATTGATCACTGCATGGAAGTGTCACTCACTCAGTCCATAGCCACACAGCTGTCCTATCAGCCAACCCCCTAGCCGCGCACCCATCGCTTCCACAACACCAAGCTGGTGTCACAGAGCTCCCTCCCCACCCTCATCACACAGTAATTGTGCACCGCACCCCGCCTCCACCAAAACAACTCAACCAGGTCATGGCCACGGTGCCTGCCACACAACACACACATAACCCATTAACTAAGGAATGGCGACTTCCTCCCCCTCGCTCCACCCCCCCAGCTGACCTGATTGGATGGGATTCACTGCCATGGTTGGTGCTGCGGCGGGCCGGGAAGCAGAGGCCTCACACCTGCCGCCTGCAGGGCCTGCATCAGATGCGCCACGGCCGCCGGGTCCATCGATGAATCTGCCACACGATAATCACCAGCAGAGAGGAGAGAGAGATGGGTGGGGTGCCCTCGTCTGTGTCGGCTACTGCGCTGCCCTCATTACATACTTGATGCAGGTGGCTGTGAAGGCTGTGGGGGCTGTGGGGGCCTGGCCGATAATCCGGATGAGTCGGTAGGCGGCTTGGTCTCACCCTCTTCGTCGTAGGACGAGAAGAACTCTGTCCAGTTGGACCGATCTGAGACAGACAGATAAACACACAGACACACAGATGCCGATGGTATGCTACTGCCGTCCCATTCCTCCAGCTCACCAGGCATAGCGACGGCCCCTTCAGCCGCCTTGCCAGCAGCCCGGCCTCCTCCTTCGCTCCCCGTGTCTGTGCTCCTCTTGGCCCCGTCCGTCGTGAGCAACGGAGGCTTAGAGACCACAGGCGCACCCACCCTCACTGGGGCCGCTGCAGCCGCAGCAGCATGCTGCTGCTGCTGCGGTTGGTGCACCACTGCCGCCCTAACAGCCGACACGTCACTGCCCCCACCCTGACCCTGCGCCGGCCCGTCTGAGCGAGGCATTGGCGGCTTGTCCTCGAACTTCATCGGTGGTCGCTGGAAGGCCCCTTGAGGCGGTCTTTCGATCAGTGGAGGACCGCCATTGTTGCTGTAGGGCTTGGCGAAGTGCGTGTGAGGGGGCGGCCGTGCGTAGGGGTCATGCATCATGGACGGAGGGGGGCGGGGGGGTCCCTCGTAGGCCTCCCGTCGGCCGTTGAAGCGCCCACCGCCGTACGGACGGAACAAGGGGCCATCTGTCAGAAGAAGGGACACACCAAACATGAATGAATGACGATCCAGGTGGGAGATGGGCTCGCTGTCCATCCGTACGTACCATCTGGTGGGCACAGGGGTGGACGAAACTCGCCGCTCATCGGAGGGCCGCGGGGAGGCCTCCTGCAACACAAGGACGGGACGTTGCTGCCAAAGAGTCTCGCCTTTCCCCCGTCGCTTACCCATAAGGATCTGGTGGGTAGAATATCGGTGGTGGGCCGTACCCACCACCCGGACCCTGACAAAAAACAACCAACCGACTCAGCCAAGCCAACCAGATACACTCGTTCGTCCATCGGCCGGCCGTCGATCCCCTCCTGCTTACAGGTCTGTAGAAATGTGGGTCCATCGGGCCTCTGGGCGGGCCAAGGTACTCGCCTCGAAACGGTCGCGGCCCCGGCGGCCGCATGAACGGCGGTGGGGGTCCGTCATGGACAAACCGATCGTCCTGACAAACAAACAGGCGGGAAGAGAGGAGCATACATCCCAATGAGTCAGTGAATCTGTGCAGGAGGTTTTCCGGGTTTCCATCCTCTCTGCATATGAACGTAGTTACCTCTGCTTCATGTCTGTGTCTGTGTGGTCTTGGTCCTCTGAAGGAACCGCCGCCGCCACCACGGAAAGGCGGAGGGCCCGGCCTACACCCACCACCACCATTCCCGTGTGGCTCACAGAGTGTCAGACTGCCTGCCTGTCTGTCTGTCTGCCCGGCGTCTCTTCAGCCACAGTGAGCGTGTACCTGAATCGCCGGCCGTTGTGTGGCCTGTCGTCCCTCCAGTCGTGGCGAGGACGGTCACGGTCGCGAGACCTGAAAAGGGATGACATTCAGGCAGGCAGGCAGGCAGGCATCAGAGTGAGAGATGTGGTGGGTGCCCCGCGTGTGAGCTGAGCTACCTGGATCGATGATCTCTCCTCCTCTCCCACCAGTCGCCCGAGCGATGGTCATCCCTGCAGTGCACACACATCCATCCACACACTCACTCACGGACGACGATCATCAAGAAGACGTCACATCTGTCGCATCACATGCATCTCTTACACACCTGTCCCATTTGCCCGTGTGCTTCTGGGGTGCACCATGGTCACGGCGATGCCTATCAGACCTCCTGGCCAGACAGACAGACAGACAAACACTCACACACGATATTGCATGTGTACCTCCGTTGGTCGAGGTCAGGTGCGACTTTCTCTGCCGAATCGCGCTGTGCCGCTTTTTCTTTTCCGTCTGCATCATTGGTGTCGGTTGGCGTCCCCATGTGTTGTCGTTTGTCCCGCTCCCTCTCCATCCTGCCGATTTCCTGGTCCTCGTGCAGACCCACATCAGCCTGGCGCACACGACGCTTCCGGCCAAACTCATCCGTGATGGTCACCATCTGACATACACACAGTCAGACACACCGACAGGCAGACAGACAGACAGACAGCATACAGAACACGCCACTTCTATGCGTGTAATACCTGCTCATCTGTATCATCACCGTCTTGACTTGTTTCTTTTGCGTCGTTGCTGTTGCCTGCTTGTTCGCCGTCCTTGGCATGAGTCACCGCCCCGTTCTGGGCCGCCTCGGGGCACTCTTGATCTCCAGCTGGCTCGGTGACGTTGGTCGGGGCTGCATTTTTCCCTCCATTTTCAATCGGATCTCCGCTCTCGGGCTCGTCCTGCTCCATCATGCTTTGCCACGGCGCTGTTTCTGTCTTTCCAAGACGAGCGATCCGTCTGCAAGCTTGGCGCGCAGAGTCGCTCTGCCCCGTTCCCTCTGCTCCAGCACCTCGTTGGTTGTCATGCAGATCTGTGTCGCCTTCGTCTGCATGGCCCTGATCTCTCATGTGTCAGCCCTGTTCCCGCCCATAAGAGCGGTTGAAGGCCTCACCAACAGCATCGTCATCGACGCGGGCGACCAGCCCATGGAGCCCAAGCTCTTCTTCTCGCAGAAGCACCACGACATCGACAGGAGGCAGCAACGCAGACAAACGCGACGTTTCTCTCTCGCCGCTTTGTCGAGGGCGCTGTGCAGCAGGGACGGCAGGACGGTGCTGCGGCCCGAGTGCCCGCCGCGCAGAGGCAGCAGCCGTGGTGCGGGCTGGAGGCTGTGCTCGACGCCGCCTCAGCGAGACCCATCGCTGAGCGGCAAGCTGAGAGAGTATGCGAAGGAGGTGGTGAATGTGCGGAGTATGGGCGAGTGGACGAGGCTGAATGAACGCTACTTCGACGCGCCGGCGCTGCACCTGGAAAAGGTGAGGCGCATGTCAGTGAGGAGGGCGGAAGAGGGCGTGGCAAGCACCACATTGTGGTGCGGTTTGTGTGCTTTGTGTGTGCAGGTCGGCATGGGGACGGTGTTTGGGTATCTGAGTGGGTATGCCGTCAAGAACGCCCTCAAGGTGTCGGCTTTGCTTGTCGGGTAAGGAGATGGGCAGCGGACAGACAGATGAGCAGGCCAGCAAGCATCATTCTCTCTCTCTCTCTCTCTGTGTGTGTGTGTGTGGATCAGTGCGAGCTTCATCGGTCTGCAGCTGCTGGCCCACCAGGGCTACATCACCATCGACTGGGACAGGGCGGAGCGCGACTTCAACAGCCTCTTCGATAGAGACCAGGACGGCCGCATATCCTCACAAGGTGCGGCGAACGATCACACATACTGCTCGGTGGCATCACCACTTTCATCAGCTCTCTCTCTCTCTCTCTCTCTGCGTGTGTGTTGGGTGGGTGTCCTTCTACGCAGACGTACGTGACCTGTTCGGCAGGCTGGGCAGCTTCCTCTCGTATGGCCTTCCAAGTGAGACCACCGCAGCATCGCCACTTCACGTGTGTGCGTCATGTCCATTGCCTGTGCGTCATACTGCAGGCGCTTCTGGCTTCGGCGTCGGCTTTTACCTCGCCCTCAAGTCATAGCTAGATAGCCACGAGCAACAATCCGATAATGTGATGTGCAAGACAGTATGAGACGGGTCTGTCGTGTATAGAAACGAGTGGCTTAGTGAGTGGGTGTCATCCATCGTTTGTGGGGGTGTTTCCTGCCAGTCCGATCGCCAACGCCGCCGCCATTCTTGTCACTTTAGCTGCACATCGGCTCCAGTGGCGACGATGGCGGCGGCGGCGACGATCGGCAGGCAGGGAGTGACCCGAGCAGACGTCAGCTAAGTGGGAGGGCCGGTGAGAAAGGTCCTCTGACAGTCAGTGTTTTTTGTGTGTATCGCTCACTTATTTCTGTGTACGATAGGATAGGTATGTAAGCATTGGATGAATGGGCGGACGAATGGAATGGGCGGATGGGTCTCTTCTGCTTCCATGGCCAGCCAGTGCGTGTGTTGTGTCTGATTCGCGCCGCGCTCTCTCTCTGTTAGTGCTGTCTGTGTTTTGTTGTCTATGCAATTGCATCCATCGCAGACATCAGCTGCTGATGTCTTCATTCTCTTCATCATATGCCCCGTCTCGTCTGTGTGTCCGTCGGTGTGTCTTTCGGCGGCCCGTCCGCAGCTGCCTCACGCAGTATCGGTGTTGAACCAGTGTCTGTCTGTCTGTCTGTCTGGGAGGGCCAGCCAAGTCAGTCAGTGTCGTATGTTCACAAACAGACAGACAGACACGCGTATGTGTGTAAATGGGATGATGGAATGGCATGTGTGGATCGAATCAAGGAGTGAGCCGCTCACCAAGACACACCCACCCCACCCCACCCCACCGACCAGTCAGCAACATATCACGGCACGAGAGAGACAAGGCCTAGGCGGCATTGCAACCGGGCCTTTTGTGCCGCTCGCGCTCGTTGTTCATGTGTGCGTCAGAAATGAATACACACAGCGTCCTCTCTGGCTGTGCGTGTGATCGCATACAGGCGATCGCTTCTCAGTTGTGGCTGCCGGATGACTCGATCATGTTCCGTCCAGGTCAAGTGGCCGGCACATGGTCAAGTCCGTAGGGCGACTAAACAGCTAGAGAGGGAAGGCCTATAACACACGCACACACACGCATAGAGAGAGGTTGGGACGTCCACCCCCGCGCGCACACAACAATGCGATAAATCTCTCACTCACTCACTCACTCACACACACAGACACATACGTCGGCAGAAAGTGATCTGCCGTCGTCAAGATGCAAAACCGCACGGCGGCACTCGCTGTTCTGCCTGGGAAAAACTGTCGCCTCATGTCTCTGGGGATGTTACTTTCGAGCGTCGTCCGGCAGACGGGCGACTGATGAGTGAATGGCAAGAAACTCAGGTAGGCAGTGATCCATCGACTGCGTACACGATAAAGACATGCACATCGGCGGACACGTAGAAAGTGTGAGGGAGGCATGCAACACTCTCTGGCCCGAAAAAGAGCGGCCTCACTTCCATGCACTCGCCCGTCTGTCTGGTGCACCCGCCCGCCCCGAACCAGGCAGCGATCGATCGAGTGACTACCACACACCGCGAGGAGACATCCAGGCAGAAGACACGGACACTCCCACTCACACGCACCCCGTCTCGCTCAGCAGCCCGCTACAGGCAGGGGGCGGCGAGAGGTCCCTTCAACAGTCCACACGCACACCACACACACGTGATGACACGCGGACACCGGACAGCGCCTTGAAAGTGTATGTGATGTGATGGAATGGAACGGAGCAAAGACCATCGGGGGATCACCAGCGGTTAAGTACAACGCAGAGTGACAATATACAAACAAGAAAGGCAGGCGACGACACACAGGCTGGATGTGTCGCGTGTTGGCCTCTCCCCTGTGTCTTTCGGCCAGCCACCTGTCTATCTGTCTGTCTGTCTGTCTTATACCAGTGAGTGTCGTATGCACACAGACACATACGTACATCCATACATCCATACATATATACATGTGTATAAATGGCATGGAATGGAATGAACCACTGAGCCGCTTCCCTCACCAAAGCACACACACGCCACCCACCAGTCAGCGTTACAGCACAGAACAAGATGGACAACATAGCAATCGCCAACACGAAAGACGCGCCAGAGATTATTAAGTGAGTCAGTCAGTCAGAGAGAGGGAGAGAAGGCCTACTATACGGACGAAAAAAAAAAAACAGACATGGCGTCGTTTGCCTGGCCATACCGCCACTACGACACTGATAGATACGCGTGTACGTCATTCCGAAACACAGACAGACAGACAGACAGACAGACGGGCACGCCACACACAGAGAGACCTGGACTTCATGTGTGTGTGAGAGAGGCGATCTCTGCGACCTCTCGGCTCTCTCTCTCTCTCTCTCTCTGATGTACATTTATCAGCTGAAATGTATGCAAAACCGCACAGCGGCCCTCACTGCCGGGGAGAACCGACGTGTCAGCAGACGTCATTGCTCCGTGTGCAGCCATGAGCGTGTGTGTGTAGGGGGTCCGACACATGACAGACAACACACACACATGGCCACGCACAGGAGCAAACCGTCTGTCGTCTGTCGCAGTGAGTGTCAGTGAGTCAGTCAGTCAGTGAGTGGGTCGGCAGATACACCCCTCACTCCAGTATGTATGTATATGGGTGTGTGTATGGGTGTGGTGTGGTGTGGTGTGGTACATGGTGTGGTCAGTTGGTGCCCTCGCCGCCGGAGACGCCCTGGCCCTCCTCGCCTGAGCCCTGCTTCTCGGCCATCCACCCTTACACCACCGTGACCTGGCCGTCGTCGGTGTCGGCCGGCTCTTATTGGTCGTAGCCATAATTGCTGTCCGAGGCGGTGTCGGCCGACTCTGGTGCTTCGACGACCCAATTGTCGTCATCGTCATCGTCATTGTCGGTGTCGGCCGGCTCTGTCAGCTGTGCGTCATCGCGTATGTAGGTTTCGCCCAGCTGCCGGAGCAGCTCTTCGGTTAGTCTCGGTGGGGTGGTCCCGGCGTCGTGGTAGGGCGATATGATACTGAGCCAACACACATCACAAAGAGTGAGCGCAGGTGTGTGTGACATGTCCGATCGCTCACTCACCTGATCCGGAGTCTCTCTTTGTCGTGGTGGTGCGCGCGCTCCTGTGCGGTGGTGTGGAAGAGCGCCTCGACGGCCGCCTCGCACGCATCCGCAGGGGTGACCACCGTGGTCCCTGCATCACCGTTGGCCAGAAGCTGTTGCTTGAAGTCGTGTTGCTTGGAGGGCCCGAGCAAGAGCGTCTCGGGCACGGCGACGACGATGACGTCGGGCTTCCAGTTCTCAGTCACCAGCGAGACCGCCGCCTTGATATCTACACGCGCGCACACACACACACAAACGCAGACAACTAATCACGTGTTCAGCGTGTGCGCGTGTCCCTGAAAGCGCCCACCGTTTTCTGCGGGCAGAGCGGTCAGTGTGACCTTCTGCACACCGAGGTCCGGCAGGAGAGTGGGGATGCTGACCACACCCAATTTCTTCAGGATGTCCTGGTACGCTGAAGGAAGTCGCACGACACACACGCACACACGGACACACATCCCGTCCAGCCACACAGAACACAACACCGCGGTGCATGTCTCGCTGGGGACCTGCCGACGCCGTGTCGTGGACTGTGACATCGGGATGATCCTGGTACTTGGCCAACCTGCATGAGCAAGCAGCACCACACGCACTCTGTCGCATGCCCCTCCGCCCCCTTCTCTCTCGCTGAGTGCCCTGACTGCCTTCCTGGCGGCATGCATGTTCCTCGCTCACTCGATGATAGCAATCTTCTTCGTCATCTTGGAGCCCCTCGCTGACGACAACAGCAAATACCGGCCGACGAGATCTGAGAGGCCCAATAACAGACGCTCTGGCACGGAAGGCTCGGGTGCTTCGAGACGCCAGGGACAGGCCGACGACAGGACTACCGCGCTAGGGTGCTTCGTCAAACCGCTGCCTTCGAGACGCTTCGAGTCGCGTTAAACACAATAAGCAAGGGGAGGCGGGGTTCTCATCGAGTAGCTCTGGTTTTGAGCATGAGTGTCGAAGGAGAGCCGAAGCGTCCCCATACACAACGCGGCGACTCGGCCGCGTCAGCTCAGCCCGGCGGCACACCGGTAAGCATCCGGGAAGCAATGTGCTGACAAGCGAACGCATTCACTCGAGAGAGCACACAGCAAGACCACTCACATTCATCGTGTCTGTGTGTGTGCGTGTGTTGCAGTCCATCAGTGAGGGTTTGGTTCGTCTGGAGGAGCGCATCGCATCGCTGCACACACACATAGATCTGGCACGTGGCGCTTGAGAGGCCCAATGGCCTCACTGCTGGTGTGCTCTCATCCACTGTGTGTGTGTGCGGTGCCTGCAGGTCACACGAGAGGCTGCCGGTGTGCAGCAGCTCTTTGACACCACAGTCGCCGCACAGGTCAACCACACACACACACACGAGAGCACTGCAGCCGTCACTCTCTCCCTGGTTGTCTGTGTGTGTGTTCGGTGCAGGCGCCATTGGCGCCGATAAGTGGGTCAGCGTCTTCGCCGCTCTCTCGTCGGCTGAAGATGCGCTGCGCGGCGTCGACGATGGCGTCAAGGGCACCATTCGGCCCATCGGCTGGGCCAAGCCGCCCCCGCCCGCCGACTCGGCCGAGGGCCTGCCGCCTGATGTCTGCCGCGACGTCATCTACCGGTGCCTTCCCATCGATGAGGCCGTCTGCTCGGCCCGCCCCATCAGCAGGGCACACGGCAGCCAACTCGTCAATGAGGCCTTCGTGCAGCGTCGCATCGCCAAGCACCTCAGCCGCCACTCGCTGACCGGCCTCATCGACGTGGAGCGGACAGCAGCAGATACAGCCAATGCCGCGGCACCCACCCCTGCCCCTCACACCAGCAGCAGCAGCAGCAGCAGTGACGCACCGGCCGCTGCTGGTGGTGGCGGCCCTCATGTGTCGCATTTCTGCTATCTGTCCCAGTGCTGCTATGCACTCGAGCATGGCGGGGCGGTGTGGTGTGAGCAGTGGCCCGACTTCATCCGGCTGGCTGACATCTACAAGCTGACGCCCTCGACTGGCCTGCCGCTGATCATGTCGGCCCAGTGGATGGCGACCCACCTGCCCACCAAGGCCGACTTCCACACCATGCCCCTCGCCCTTCGCCAGTACAGCACATTCGGCCACCTCCTCAACTACAAGGGGACCAGTCTGGCGATCGAGAAGCTGGATGAGGCCGACGATGGCGACGAGGCCAAGAAGGGGGACGGTGGTGTGAGGAGGCAGCGCTACAGGATCGGCGCTGTCTACTTCACGATGGTGCCGCTGTCCGCCCTCCCTGCCGACAGCCCCTTCCGTGAGACATACGACCCCCACAACCCACCGATCCGCTACGATTGCCACCTCTTCCCCTCATTCACGTCCTTCATGAAACACCTGGTGTTGTTCGAGTGGTTTGACCCAAAGGGGGTGGACGAGAGGCGGGTATTTTGGGCGAGACTGGGTGGTGGCGATGAGGGATATCGGTCGCTGCTTACCGACGCCATAGACGGCAACACCACCATCGACTACACCAATGACGGGCAGGGGGATGACGGGCGGCAGCGACTCATCATCCTCAAGGGCATGAAGGAGGACGACACTATTACTGCCTACCTGTACCTAATCGATGGCAACATCAAGCTGTTCACGACCGAGGCGGCCATCGAGGGCCACACGCGGCTGTCCGCCCGATTCCCCAGCGCGATGCCATTGACCCGCACCCTGTTGACAAAACACGGCCTCGCCCACATCATACCACAGTAGAGGAAACACACACAAGTGAGCCGCGGTGCGGAAGGGACATTCACAAGCACACAAGGGGCATGCCTTGAGTGCCCGAATGGCACTGGTGCGTCTCTCTCTCACTCTCTCACTCTCTCTCTCTCGGTGTGTGTGTGTGTGCGTCTGTTTGTGTGCAGATGAGGTTGTTCGTCGACTGGTGCTGCTGGCAGTGGAGAAGCTGGCAGCGGTGTGTAGGCTGATTGTGGAGGGCTCACTTCTTGCAGCGACATGTGATGAGATGGGATGGACGGGCGCGGTGTCGTCTGCCGACATCTGTACATGTACAGTACATGTCGTCTGTAAGTGCGTTTATACGGCACACATCATCCTTTACTGCGGTGTTTTGTACGCCCACATCATACCGCAGTAGAGGGGGGGAGACAATGCAAGTGAGGCAGATGATGACGGCGGTGTGCGGATGTGTGTATGTTTATTGATGACATTGTGCTGCTGCTCCTGTTATTGAGATGGAGAACCGTCTGCACTGACTGCATCGATCCGGCCCCAAATCCTCCGGGGTCACAAACCATCAGTTCGCCCCTCGCGAATTCTTCGGAAATCTTCCATTTCTCATGGCCACGAAGGGCGCGAAGGCCGCCGTTCAGGAGGTGGAGGCTGCCAGCTCAGCCGGCACTGATGAGCTGATATCGGTAAAACTGCATCACACACAGCGCCAGGCACTATGCCTGAATGGGGTGAGGGGGCTGTTCAGATTGAGCGGGAGATGGAGAGGATGAAGCAGGCTGAGCAGCTTCAGCTGCTGTGAGCATAACACACGATTCCCCCGCAGCCACCGCCCATGGGTGTGGTGTGTTCGGTCAGTGAGGACAAGCACACGAAGGCGCTGAAGGAGAAGGATGCCCTGGCCAAGCAGGTTGAGGAGCTGCAGGCAGAGGAGGCCGACACCATGAAGACACTGAGGGAAAACCTCGCAGAGGCATGGGAGCGGGTGCGGCAGCTCCAGGTCAACAACCAACAGCTGCAGACCCAGATGGGGCAGAAGGAGAAGAAACTGGGTCAGACACGTGCACACGCGCACATACAAAAGGTGTACAGTATACAGGTCCTCTGTGTGTGTGCAGAGGAGAAGATCGAGGCCAACGAGCAGCAATTCAAGAAGAAGTGAACACACCCCAAATCCAGTCCCCTCACGGATACCATGCTGGCGCTGTGTCCTGGCTTTGTCGCACACAGGTGGGATGACCTGCTAGTCAAGTGCAACACGTTGCAGCGGCAGCACGAGGAGATCGAGCAGTTCATCAAGGAGAAGGCCGACTACGAAGAGAGACTTACCACCCTCCAGCAGCAGCTAAACGACGCTGAGAATCGACACACAGAGAAGATTAGGTAAGTGCTGCTCTGGAAGGAGAATGAAAACGGCGATTGGTTGTTGCGCGTCAGTGAGATGGAGCGGCGTCGAGCGATGGATTTCGAGCACCACCGGCAGGGCCTGGTGGCCAAGATCCGGCAGAAGGAGGAGCAATTCCGCGTCAAGGCCAAGCAACAGCTCTCAGAAGTGAGCTTGTGGGAAACAAGGGGGTCAAGAGAAATACAGATGGATGTCTCTCTCTCTCTCTCTCTTTCGATCGATCAATCGACAGACAACACGGCGCACACTGCTGGAGAACGACCATGTGGTGACACAGCTCAACTACCAATCCGTGTGAGTGACGAGCCAATGATACAAGCAGACGGCAACTTGACGTTTTCTATCGTGCAGAGAGGTCGAGCGCCTCGTGTCTCAGAACAAGAGATTGAATGAAGAGAACGGGGTGAGGGGGGGGAGCAACCAACCGACATCCCAATTGCCACGTCTTCTGTCTGTCTGTCTGTCTGTCGTTCCGTCTTTTCGTGTCGCACCAGGAGCTGCGCAGAGAGCTTCGCATCCTAAAGCATCTGGAAGAAGACATGGTCAGACCGTGAGGCAAATGTCCGTTCACGCCGCACCCATCTGCATCTCGCCTCTCCCTGCCTCCATCCCTCCGTGTCAGGCCCTCCGCACGTGTGTCTATCAGCGGCTGGTGACCAAGTTGCAGAGCAGGCACCCTTACACAGAGGTAGTGGCGCCGGAGCAGCAGGACTCCTTCTCGACAGCACCGAGCGCCGAGCCAATGCTGGTGTCCGAGCCTCCGACAGAGAGCAGGGAGACTGAAGAGGAGAGTGGTGACGTCGTCAGGTGTGAGACACGGAGAGAGACGGTGGCGCTTGCACCGAGGCAGCTTACGCGTGTATGTGCCCACCCATCCGTAGACAATTGCGAGAAGAGAACCAACGTCTGAAGGAAGAGGCGGAGGAGCGAGACAAGGTGAGATCAATCCCCCTCAGCACATAGCCCTCATGCGAGTCTTCCTACAGATCCTTCTTGCCCTGAGAGAGGAGTATCAGGACTTCCGAGCCGACCACTCGACCTTGCTCAGGATCCAGGACAAAGCTCTGTGTGAGATCGTCAGTGCCCTACAGGAATACCATGTGCGAAAGGAGACCAAGCCCCAAAAGAGTAAGGAAAGAGCGGCCGCTGATGGACAGGCAGCGACCTTCCAGCAGCTGGATTCGGACACGGCCATCGAGTTCCTCAACTTCCTTTACGGTAATGACAGGGAACAGTATTCATCTGTCCTCCATTTGGCTGCTTTGTCTGTCCTCAGAGAACCTGTCCCGGACCTTTGGCAACCACAAGAGATGCACGTCTGTCACGAGGCAGCCGCCAACCGAAACCTCGGAGACACGGAGACAAACCCACCGAGTCCGGCCTGGTGCGGGGGTGACGCCTTCAACGACACGCGACCAGCTCCAGTCTTTGTTTGGCGGTGCTCCTAGTGTGGTGTCGAAGCCGACTTTGCACGAGGGAGGTGCGTCGTGCAGTGAGGGGACGCAGACGGTCGATGGGGACGGCAGTCTGCTCATGGGCGGGAAGACCATTGCACTGCCTTTTGATGATAAGATCGAATTGCTGGGGGTGACAGACCAGGTGAGTTGGCAGGGTGAAGTCAGCCAGTTAGTGCTGACTTTTGATGTGATGTGTGTGTGTGTGTGTGTGCAGGGGAATGTCAAGGGAGGTTGGGAGCAGAGGCTGAGAAGAGACCAGTTTGGCAAGAGGAGATTTGGATAGCGGCCGGCCGGAATATTCATTGCCCGGGTGGATGGATGGATGGATGAGACACCCTTGTGCGGATGTGCGTGGTTGACTGCTCAAACCTCGTGTCGCCATTCATGGTTGAATAGAAAGGATCAGTCAACCACAGACGCAAACGTCAGATTCGATGGTGCAAGAGTTTGACGCAAGAGAGCCATCGTCAGCAGTGGATGGAGCAGATATGTTTGGTTCATGCACTCCGACAAATGAGCTATGCGGTCGATAGCTCAACATGTGTTTCGATCCATGCATTCCGTGCGCTGACGGATACACTCTCTACCAGCACATCGGGGTCATAGCCTATGTCAGCCGTGCTAGAGACTAAAAGCACGGACGAGAGGGCCATCTACACAACAACTCACCTGCACACACACACACACACACGTACACATGTGGCGTCCATCCATCAGGCTCTACACGGCAGAATCCCTCCTTGCCTACCTCTCGCCAGCGGTGGCCTCTCACCCCCACCGTGGTATGATGTGGGCGAGTCGGTATTTGGTCAGCAGGCTGCGCAGCAACGGCGCAGAGATGGAGAGCTGGTCCTCCCACGGCGTGTGACCCTCGATCTCGGCCTCGGTCGCGAAGAGGATGATGTAGCCGCGGCAAACCCACAGGTACGCAGCGACGGTGTCGTCTTCCTTCATGCCCTTGAGCATGATAAACCGTTGCCGCTCCCCCTCCTCGATGAAGTCGATGGTGGCGTGCCCGTCGATGGGATCGGTCAGCACTCGCTGATAGCGCTCATCGCCACGGCCCACTCCAACCCGGAACACCAGCTTCTCGCCCACCCCCTCTTGGTTAAACCACTGCGTCAACACCATCCTCTTCATGAAGGCCGTGAATGAGGGGAAGAGGAAGCCATGGCGGCGGATGGGCGGGTTGTGGGGGTCGTATGTGCGGCGGTAGGGGTGGCGGGGAGGGAGGCCGGACAGCGGCACCGTCTCGAACCGCCACTCTTCCTCGCCGACTCCGATGCGATACCGCTGCCGTGTCACCCCACCGTCCCCCTCTCCCTCTCCTTGGCTGCCCCCCTCTCCATCCCCCTCTTTGCCCTCACCGCCATCATCGGCCTCATCCACCTTTGTCAGCGCCAGACTGGTGCCCTTGTAGTTGAGGAGGTGGCCGAATGTGCTGTACTGGCGAAGGGCGAGGGGCATGGTGTGGAAGTCGGCCTTGGTGGGCAGGTGGGCCGCCATCCACTGGGGCGACATGATCAGCGGCAGACCAGTCGAGGGCGTCAGCTTGTAGATGTCAGCCAGCCGGATGAAGTCGGGCCACTCACACCACAGCGCCCCGCCGTACTCGAGTGCATGGGCGCACTTGGTGTAGTACTGAAACGGCCTCTCCACGTCGATGAGGCCACGCAGAGACCGCCGGCTGAGGTCCGTGTCGATGCGTGTGAGCATGAAGGTCTCATCGACGAGGTCGATGCCGCTGGTTTTGTTGGCCGCCCGTGCTGAGCTGACGGCCACGTCGACGGGCAGGAACCGAGTCACGACGTCACGGTACAGATCCTCGGACAAAGGATTGGCCGTACCATTGTCCGTGTGGGCTGTTGTGTGTTCGGTGTGAGTGGCGGCGGGATGGGCGGCTGGTGGGGAGGGGTGGGAGGGAGGGATGGGGGATGGGTGCATCGCTGCCAAGTCGTCATTGAAGGCCGCGAGGGCACTGGAGACCACCGAGAGGCTGTTGACGAGGGCAGAGGGTATCTGAAGTCACTCAGCACAGACAGTCTGCGCTGAGGGTAAAGGCGCATCCACCTAACCTCGACAGCCGCATTGTGAGAGTGTGAGCGCTCGATGGTCACAAGCCCGTGCTCCGCCTGAGCACATACAAACAAACAGATGGACTGCCCTCGCCCGTCTAAAGATGTGTGTGTCCACAGCCCTTACCTGTGTGAGGTGTGTCTGCAGCACTGAAATCTGTCGCCGAAACGCATCAACACTACAGCTACTGGCGGCCGCCTGCACACAACACAAGACACAGTCACAATGGACGCACCATCTGGAGAGCCCGCCCACCGATGGGTCGTGAGAGAGATCCATTGGCGGCTGCGATGCAGTACCCTCATCCCATGAGTGACCAAACTGACAAATGACAGCACATCATCCCATATTCCGCAGGTGCCTCGTCATATATAGATGACTCACCGGCCTGTCCGCACGGCGACGGTCGGCGTGGTCAGCAAGATACGGCTTGGATCTCAGTTGTGTAGCCGTGCAGCGTCCTCCCGACACCACCGGTATCACCTCACGGAATCGCAGGAGCGAGTCGGTGGCCGTGCTATAGCCCTCCTGGTCGTTGCTGTACGCCGCAGAAAGGCCTCCTTCCTTCCCTTTCTGTGCCTCCTTCCCTCCCGATCGACTGAGGATCGAATCGGCGTCGCCTGCGAATCTGGCAAATTCGTTTTCCGATTTTGTCGGCTGAGAGGCTCCTTCAGACGCCCACACACTCACCTCTGTGAAGAAACGCCGAAAAATGGCGCAGAAAGAGGCGAGATCAAAGCTCGGAGGTGGTGAGGAGATTACCGACGCCGGCAAGGGTAAGACGGCGACACAGGTGAGAAGGGAAGAAACCTCGGATGCCTTCTATGGTGTTTGTCGCTTGTTTGGCTCAGATCTGACGTATTTTCGTGCTGAGGGTGCAATCACTGGCTGTTGAGATGTGGCGTGAAGGTGCATTGCCTGGCAGTGACCGACTTGGTGGCTCTGCGGACCTGCTGTCGCGCCGTGGGGAGCTCTGTGGTGGCCGCTGCTGTGCTGGTCCATCGCATCGACGCCTCCCTCGCCCGCCACTCACCGGCACCTTCTGTGCCTGATGATGATGTCTGTCGGCCTGAAGGCCTTGTCGGTGCCAGTGTTGCCTGCGCCAAGCGGCTGACGGCACGGGCCTCACGGTGGATGACAGGCCGATAGTCGCTGGCGCCCTTCGGCTACCTGGTGCGATGCTGTTACGTTCTGGATGAGGGCAGCAGCGAGTGGCGTGTGATGGGCACAATTGTGTGCTTGGCCGCCACCTATCGGCTGTGGCTCATCTGCCCAGCAAGACGGCCTTCCACAAGCTGTCGCTAACAGTGGCCATCTACAGGACCATCGAGCATCAGCTGAGATGCTTTGTAGGGAGCCTGATGTTCGAGCAAGCCGACAACGGCATCCTATATGCGCTGGTGAAGTGGGCACGGCGACTGCGGGAGTTTGTAGCCCCCGGTCCGGCGGCCGCCGGACTCTATCGGATTGGCGGCTGTTGGTCTTTCGATGTGGTGCCTTATCATCAGCCGTCCGACAACCACTTCTTGCTCCTCCTACAAGACTACTGATCCCGTCACTCGCACAGCATGCCCACCGTGCGCTGTCTTCCCTCGTTAGGCCATATACGCTGGTCTGTCTCCTTTTGGTGGTCTCATCAAGAGGGAGTGCATCAAGAGGTTTGGCTGGTCACGCGGCTGCCGACCTGACGACACCGTCGCCGCATTTGTGGCGGTGAGGGATGTGAGCATCTAATTGGTCACAGCCGAGGTGCCTGCTGCTGCTGGTCGTGTGTGCCTCATCGGTGGATGTGCGTTTCCCCACGTCGACTCCCCTTGTGGCGCCGGGCTGCTGAGGCGGTTTGGGCTGAGGTGATGTCATCCATTGCAATTGATGGAGGGATAGTGGAGAGGTGATGCAATGGAGTCAGTGATGAGATGTGTGTGGGTGTTTGACGTATCGCGCAGACAGCTCGTGTCGACTTTTGTTTCAGTCAATGGATTAATGAAGTGCACTCACATCATTCAACCGGCCCACACACGAACACACACACGTCTATCGACAACTTATCGACACAACCACACACACGTAATACCCGTCCACACCACACACGGCGACCGACCTTCACAACACACGGACGGACACACGCACACCAACCACACCACACACATGTGGGTAAGCACATGTGGGTAAGACAAGGCAACACACCACACCACACCACACACGAACCACACACACGTGCACCATGCACCATGTCCGATTCCCATGCGTGTATGTGTGCGTGTGTGTGTGTGGCTGGCACAAGTCACGTGGTGGCGCCCAGTGGCACCAGATTGTTGGGTTGGTTGTGTGGCTCCTTGGTGTGCGTCCGTGTACGTACGTACGGTGGGTAAGTGGGTCGCGAGACTCACGAATCGGAGTGGCTCAGCGACATGTCAGTCAGCCATTCTCTCTTCTCTCTCTGTCTCTCTGTCATTCGCCCACGGCCAGTCCATCCGATGCATCAGCAGTAGTAGTCCGAGTGTAGTAAGTGAAGTATGTGTGTGGTGAGAGAGGCATATCAGTCAGTCAGATCACTTCACACGCATCCCTTCATCCCCCACCCCTCCCGCCCCCCACCACCACACCCGACATCCATGTGGTTGTGGTGTGTTTATCTCTCGCCGCGGATGCGCCTGGCGAGTTGGATGTCCTTGGGCATGATGGTGACGCGTTTGGCGTGGATGGCGCAGAGGTTGGCGTCTTCGAAGAGGCCGACCATGAAGGCCTCAGTGGCCTCCTGGAGAGCCGCCACGGCCGACGACTGGAAGCGCAGGTCGGTCTTGAAGTCCTGGGCAATCTCGCGCACCAAACGCTGGAACGGCAGCTTGCGCAGCAGCAGCTCGGTGCTCTTCTGGTACTTGCGGATCTCGCGCAACGCCACCGTCCCGGGGCGGAAGCGGTGGGGCTTCTTGACACCGCCAGACACGGGGGCCGACTTCTTGGCGGCCTTGGATGCCAGCTGCTTGCGAGGCGCCTTGCCGCCAGTCGACTTGCGAGCAGTCTGGTGAGTGGGCACACACAACACACAGCACACAGCACACAACACACAGCACACAGCACAACACACAACACACAACACAAATGTCTCTGTGAACATCATGGCCTCTCTCCGTGTCGTCAGGCGAGAGGGCGGGGTGCATACCTGCTTGGTGCGGGCCATTTCGACAACGATCAACGACGAACAATAGCGATAGGGATACTAGCCGATTACTGAACCGCTCAGAGAGAGAAAGGGCGTTTGCGTCAGGGAGAGGCCCGCAGTGATGCTGTAGGGCATCCGTCAAACAGAAGAAACCCTTCGATCTACTTCGATCCTGTTTCAGCTCGCAATTTTCGGGGACGTCGGAAACTCGGAAACCAGGGAAGAACAACCATTGGCTGGCTAGGTGGTGGGGCCCTAGCCCGAACCGATCCTGGCCCGCGTTGGGAGGAGCCGTGTTGAGAGATGCGGACGGTGACGGTGTGGGCTGACAAGATCCCTGAGAGGGACAAGCTGAGCAGCACAGTGTGGAGCATCGCATTCAAGCCAGGTGGATAGATTGATCTGATCTGCACATGGGAAAGGATGGATGGATGGATGTGCCTGTTTGTGTGTGTGATGGGTTGAATGCATCGCCTTCATTCCATGCATTCAGATGGGACGCAGGTGGTCGTGGCGGCGGGCAACCGCGTGTTGGTGTATGACGCGCAGGAGGGAGACCTCATCCACTCGCTGAAAGGTGAGTGAGCAAGGAGTAGTTCGATCAGAGGACAGATACAGAGGGCTGCGTTGTGTGTGCGTGTGTGTGTGGGTCGATCAGGCCACAAGGATGCCGTCTACTGCGTGGCCTACAGCAAACAGGGCAAGAAATTCGCCTCGGGAGGGTGAGTGTGAGGCTGGACACTTCTCTTCCTTCCGCCATCCATCCATCCACCTGTGTGTCTGTCCATCCGTCTGTCCGTTTGCTGGTGCATGTTAGTGCCGACAAGCAGGTGATAATCTGGACTGACAAGGCTGAGGGCCGGCTCAAGTACCACCACACCGACTCCATTCAGTGCCTCGCATACAACCCAGTCACCCAACAGGTCAGGTGGTGGGCAGGGAGGGAGGAAGGCACCTGCCTGATGTGATTGAGGGATGCATCGACATCGAGGGCTGCCTGCCTCCGCAGAAGGTGGATGCGTGGATGCATCCGTCTGTCTGTGTGTGTGTGGTGCAGTTGGCGAGTGGCACTGCGTCCGATTTCGGTCTGTGGTCGCCCGAGCAGAAGTCCGTCACCAAACACAAGGCAGGCACCAGCGCACTCACCCTCATCCGTCCATCCATCCATCCCTCTGTTTGTGTGTTCAGGTGTCGTCGAAGGTGCTGAGCCTCAGCTGGACGCCGGACGGCCTCCATCTCGCACTCGGTGAGGTGGGCCGTCGGTAGCTCGCGAAAAGCAAAGCCCTCATGAGTGCGTCCGTACCGTACCGTCACTATGCGTCTGTGTGTGGTGGTTGGGGTGTGTGTGTGTGTGTGTGAGGTTTGTTCAATGGTCACATATCGATCACGGACAAGTTCGGCACTGAAAAGGTGACACACTTAGTCGTTCGTTCTTTGATTCTTTTTTGCATGGCTAATGCATCTCAACCACCCACCCTCACACAACACAAACAGGCCGAGGTAGTGCGGAAGGAGCCGATATGGTGCCTGGGGTGGAACCCCGTGCTGGCGAGATCCGACCCGACAGACGTCCTCGTGGTCAGTCAGCTCTACACACACACATGCAACTGGAGGCAGCGGGACTTACTCATGGAATTGGTGTGTGCGTGTGTGTGTCAGGTTGGCTGCTGCGACCAGACACTGTCCTTCTACAAGGTAGGTATGACATCATAGGTGCTCGCGAGCAGCCAACCACACCACACACCCCATCTGTCTGATCTGCCTCGTGTGTGTCGGGTCGGTCCCCTAGGTCTCAGGTCAGGAGTGTCTGAAGGAGCAGAAGCTCGACTACGACCCCCTCTCTATCGTAAGGACGCCATCAGCACACCCACCCCCTCACACACACACACACACGCACACACACCCTCCCACACACACATCCCCCCCTCGTGGCTGGCGCAACAGGCATTCTTCTCGAGTGGCGACTACTTCGTTGTGGGCGGCTCGGACAAGAAGGTGATCCAGTGAATGAGTGAGTGCATCCCCATTGATTCCTTTCTTCATCCCATGGCCTGGACGGACGGCCGTTGCAGGTGACATTGTGGAGCCGCGACGGCATCTCTTTGGGCCCGATCAGCGAGCATGACGACTGGGTCTGGGCCGTCGCCGTCAGACCAAAGCAACACAATGTCGCTGCGGGTGGGTGAGCTGAGTGAGCTGAGCTGACGATGCATGTGTGTGTGAATCGAGTGCCTGGGTCTGTGGAATGATGGTGTCAGGGAGCAACGACGGTGCCGTCAAGATGTACCAGATCATCTTCTCCACTGTCCATGGCCTCTACCAGGTAGGTGCACACTCACACTCACTCAGACACGGAGATGCCAACCAGCTGGGTGGGTGTCTGAGTGTGTGTCAGGACCGCTATGCCTATCGCGAGCTGATGACCGATGTGATCGTGCAGCACCTGGTCACTGACCAAAAGGTCCGGTCCGTCAGGCAGGCCGCCAGGCTCAGAATGGGAATGTGTGAATGTGTGTGTCACTCCTCCTGCTGCCTGCTGCTGTGCGTCAGGTGCGGATTCGGTGTAAGGACTACGTCAAGAAGATCGCAGTCTACCGGGACAGGCTCGCCGTGCAGCTGCCGGACAAGGCACATACATAGGCCACAACAGACAGACAGACACCCACACCACACAGCCACATGTGGCTGTGTGGCTGTGTGTGTGTGCGTCAGGTGCTGATATACGAGGTGGCGCAGGACGACCCCACCGACCTCCACTACAAGAGTATGGACAAGATTCGACAGAGGTACACACCCTTCACCGCCACTCTCACTCTCACACCCCGCTTATTGTGTGCCCATCCATCCATCATCCATCATCAATAATCAATCAGGTTTGAGTGTTCGTTGCTGGTGGTGACGTCGCACCACATCATCTTGTGCCAGGAGCGGAAGCTGCAGCTGTATGCCTTCTCGGGACAGCTCGAGCGAGAGTGGAACCTCGAGTCGCTCATCAGATACATCAAAGTAAGAAATTAGACAACGCAACGCACGGATCCACACACACTTAACTTACACACGGAGGGAGAATGGATGGATGTCTGTGTCCATGTGTGTGTCCATATATATGTGTGTGTGTGTGTGCAGGTTGTGGGGGGTCCGCAGAAGCGTGAAGGCCTGCTCGTGGGGCTCAAGAACGGTGCTCGCCGAGGCGAAAGTCAAAGACGCCCACTGTCCACCTGTGCTGTGTTCGTGTGTGTGTTGGTGTGTGTGTGTGTTGGTGTGTTGGTGTGTTGGTGTGTTGGTGTGTTTGTTCAGGTCACATATTGAAGATCTTTGTGGACAACCCTTTCCCCGTCACCCTCATCAAGCAAGCCACGACAGTCAGATGCCTGGACCTCAGCGTGTCAAGGAAAAAGGTGATATGAGTCCCCACACACACATACACTCACACATGGATGGATGGATGTGTCATGTGTGTGTGGACTGGACAGCTGGCGGTAGTGGACGAAACGGCCAACATGTTGGTGTACGACCTGGACAGCAAGCAGCTCATCTACCAGGAGCCCAACGCCAACTCGGTCGCCTGGAACACAGAGATGGAGGACATGCTCGCATACAGCGGTCAGTCAGTCAGTCAGCCAGTCAGTCCACACACACTCACACACAGAAATCCATTCGCACGTACGTGTGTGTGTGTGGGGCTCATCCTCCCTCTCTCTCTCTCTCTCCCCCTCTCTATTGGATGCTTTCAGGCAACAACACGCTGTGCATCAAGACGGGCACCTTCCCCCCACACACGCAGAAGCTCCAGGCAACCCCCTCCCCCGCCCCGCCCCTCTCCCAACGCACACGCAATGCTCTGACTGACCATCCCTCTCTCTCTCTGTCCGTCCACCAGGGCTTCGTTGTTGGGTTCAAGGGTTCCAAGATCTTTTGTCTGCACTACGTGTCCATGCAGACTATCGACGTGCCGCAGTCGGCCTCCATGTTCAGGTACCTCGACCGCAAAGACTTCCACACCGCTTACAGAGTCGCCTGCCTCGGCGTCACCGAGAGCGACTGGAGGGCCCTCGCCATCAACTGCCTCTCCAGCTTCCAATTCGATCTCGCCAGGAAGGTAAGGTACCCACGAGAGAGAGAAGGAATCATGTGTGTCTGGATTGCGTGTGGTGTGGTGTGGGTGGGTGTGTTGTGGATGGTTTGGTTGTTTGCCGTGAGTGAGTGCAGGCGTTCATTCGGATTCGCGACGTGCGGTATCTGGACCTGCTGACGCGGCTGCAGGCGAGCTACGGCAAGAAGAAGCAGCTCACGCAGGAGGAGGAAAACATGATCCTCGCACAAGTGCACGCCATTCAGGTGCAGTCACTGCACCTACCCACCCCCACACACACCCGACACACCCGACACACCCACGGCCCGTCCATCCATTCATCCATCCACCCCATCTGGCGTCTGTCTGTGTATCTATCAGGGGCAGTACAGAGAGGCGGCGGAGCGGTTCCTCAAGTCGGGTCAGCCCAAGCTGGCCGTCGACATGTTCACCGACCTGCGCAAGTGGGACGAGGCCAAGCAGTGGGCTGCCATCATCGAGAAAGACGCTCTCACACAGAAGGGTAAGCTACGCAGGCAGGCCTATGTCACTCTCCCCCCACCCACGCAACGCATCGCATTCCCTCTCCAACTTTTCCTTTGTGTGTGCAGCGGCGCCCCCGCCCCTTACTGCAGCAGCAGCAGCAGCATCGCCGCTGAGAACCGAGGAGAGGGAGAGGGAGAGGGATGGTGCCCCCGCACCACCCGCCCCTGGTGCGGTGTTGGCAGCGGCCCCTGCACTGAGTGTGTCGGCGTCTGATGTCGGCAAGCAGGGGGCCGTCCTCACACCCGTCGCACACCTTCCACCACCTGCCGCCGCCGCTGCTGCTGCTGCTGCTGCTGCACCAGCAGCAGTCAGCAAGGAGCCAGAGGATGGTGGCGAGTCGATGGCGCAGGGGCTGATCATGCTGCAGGTGGGGGAGTCGGTTGGGCACAGATGGATGGACGGATGGCAATCTATCTGGTATGGGCGGTGTGGTGTGCAGGCTGTGACGTCAGAGGAAGATGGAGATCTCCGGAGTGCCGGCGAGATGTACTTCAAGGCCGGCAAGTATCGCAAAGCCGTCGAGATCTTCATCAAGCTACAGGCGGTAAGAGCCAAGGCCTCTCCCCGTCCCTCTCCCTCCCTCCCTCCATGTGTGTGTCTGTGTGTCAGTTGGAGCCGTTGATAGAGGTGGTGCGTCACCTTGTGGCCGCGGGCGATGTGATCGGCAGCAGGGCACCCCCCAGCGGCCTCAGCGACAAAGACGTCCGGGAGCTGCTCGCCATGGCCGCAAAGCTGTTCAGGCAGAAGGGACACTTCTCCTTCGCGAAGGTGAGAATGTCTGTCTGTGTGTCCATGGCGACCACACACACACAGGGACAGTCCAATGTGTCCGTGTGTCCGTGTGTGTGTGTGTGGGGGGGATTGGTATTGTCTGTCAGGAGACGTTGCTCAAGCTGGGTGACATCGGTCAGCTGATGGGTCTGTACGTGGAGATGCACCGGTGGGAGGAGGCATTCGGACTCGCCGAGCAGTACCCCCAACACGCACACGCCATTCATCTGCCCTGGGCGGAGTGGCTCGTCACACAGGACGGGTAAGGTAGCAACTGCACACATACACACACACCACGTGTGTGTGGACTGACTTTGTGTGTGTACTGTACGTGTCTGTCAGGTTCGACGAGGCGCGAGCGGCCTACGCCCAGGCGGGCCGTCGGGATCTCTCCCTCTCCCTCCTCCACACCCTCACCACCAACGCCGTCACGGAGCGAAGATTCAAAGTAGGTCACGTCACCTACACACCCATCCAATCCACGTGTGTGTATCTCACCCTCTGTCCTCTCTGTGTGTGTTGTGTGTCAGGATGCGGCCCGTTACTACTGGTCCTTGGCTGTGGAGAGCGTGCAGAGTGCGGAGTCGGCCACGGGCAGCAGCCATGACGACGAAATGGCCAGAAGACGGGTATGTGTGTGGTCGAGCCACTCAGGCGGCATCTCTCTGTATGTGTGTGTGTGTGTGTGGTGCGTGTGTGTGTGTGTGGATGCGTTACACACAGGGTGTGTCGCAGTTTTGGGAGTATCGTCGGTATGGCGAGCTGTACTACGCCTTCGCCATGATACACTCATTCATGAGGGAGCCCTTCACACAACACACACAAGGTAGGTATTGTCTGCCTGCCCGTTTATCCATCCATCCGGGTGTGGTGTGGTGTGGTGTTTGTGTGCGTGTGTTGGTTGATTCAGAGCAGCTGCTCAACGCCACGCTGTTCCTGTGGAACATCCTTGCATCACCGGGGCTCACAAGGCCAAAACCCACATCACACAAGTGAGTGAAGTGAACACACCACATCCCCACACACACTCACACACATACACTCCAACCAACGCCCATCTCCTGCCTGCCTGCATCCCTCCTCTCTCCTTCGTGTGTGCAGGGGCGTTGACGCGACACACAACACCGTCACAGCATTCCTCAAAGGCAAGTCGTCAAGTCAGCACAGCTCACGCACCCACACAGCTCCCCTCTACACCAACCAACACACATCCACGCTGTTGCTGTTGCTGTTGCTGTTGCGTCTCGTGTGTCATCAGAACGGGCAGAGGCCTCCGGTGCAGGTGTGGGTGTGGGTACTGCTGTGCGGCCCACGGTCTCTGGCGCCGGTGCAGGAGGGTGGTCGGCCAAGATGGTGCCGCCGGGCATCTCCCGCGCCGCCATCCTATACGCCATGGCCAAGAAGGCACAGGCACTCGACGCCGCCAAGCTGGCAAGATTCGCACACGACAGACTCCAGGTAGGAAGGGTCAGGTGTGTGTGTGTGCGTGTGCGTGGATCGTGATGTGTGGTGTGTTGTCAGGAGGTGCGTCTGCCTCCGAAGTGGCAGAATGAGAGCGACATTGCCGCACTGCAACTGCGGGCCAAGCCTTACATCGTATGCACACACGCGGAGAGGGAGAGAGAGGGAGAGAGAGGGAGAGAAGGAGAGAAAGAGGGAGGGAGCGATGAGTGCAGGTGTGTTGTGTTGTGTTGTGTGGTTTGTGGGCAGGACAACGAGGATTTGGTGCCGATTTGCTACCGGTGCATGGGCAACAACCCTCTGGTCAGGACCAACCTCGACTCGTGCGCCCACTGCGGCCACCCGTTCGTGCGCGACTTCCTGTCTTTCGAAACCCTCCCTCTCGTATGTATGCCATGCCCTCACTCACACACATCACATCCTTCATCCCATCCTCCAATATCCCTCTCTCTGTGTTGTGTGTTTGTGTCAGGTAGAGTTTGTGCCCGATGGTGTGGATGACGACAGCGCCATATCGGCCATCAACGAGGAGCCGCCTCACCTGCTCAGACACATCCAGGAAGACTCCACCGACGGGTAGGTGATGTGACATTATGCGGGCGGCACACCCACCACACCACCCCACACCCCACCACACACACGCCTCAATCACTGTGTGTGTGTCGGTGTTGTGTTGACCTGCCTGTGTGTCGTGCCAGGTGGAGGGAGGGCCGAGCCGCCGGCGGCGGTGGTGGTGGCGGTGGTGCAGACACCCTGACGCTCGACGTGGATGTCGGCGGACACCATGGCGGCATCAACGACGGTCAGCCAATACACACACACCCTGACAGACATCCGCTCATCAGTCAGTAGTCAGGCCGCGCGTGGTGTTGTGTGTGCGTGTGTTGGTCTGTGTGGTCAGATGAGTCGGATCCCTTTCTGTCCAAGATGGAGGAGGCGATGAGCATGGCGGTGCCGGGCGAGCCCTACCGACCCATCCCCGTAGACATCAGCTCACTCAAAGCCATGAACCCAGAACTCGTATGTAAACCAAAGCCTCCCACTTCACATCCCCACCCAACGGACAGACAGACGGACACTCATCGATGTCTCTCACACTGTGAGAGTGTGTGTGTGTGTGGATGGATGGATGGATGGCAGGTGCACATAGTCGACTACCGGCGTGTGAGCCCTTTGCTGCCGGTGTTGTACTACCGCTGCATGATCCCCGAGGTGGCCTTGTCGGTGAGCCACACGTGCGGGCACTTCTACCACCAGCAGGCCATAGAGGAGGAGCTCCTCAGCACACAGCAGTGGCCCTTCTGCGGAACCACCGTACGTAATGGTGGATGGATGGCACACAGACAGACAGACGAGACGGGGATGGATGGATGTGTGTGTGTGTGCGTGTGCATCTGCAGGAGATTGATCCCTAGCTATAGCTCGCTACCTTTGTGGAGTGACGGCGGACGGCAGACAGGTTGTGCGTGTGGGAAGGGGAGTGTTGTGCGCTGTATAGCTAGCTGGTTGTATTATATGTGTGCATGTGGATATCAGTGTGTGTACTGATTGGTTCCGCAATTCTCTATGCCGGCGACTCGACTGACTGGCAGTCCCATTCACTGGTCGAGGTTCCTGATGCCATGAGTCCATGTCCCCCGTCAGTCAGTGTCCTCGCACTCAACCACAGCCCAGCCGGGCCGGGCAGACCACACACACACACATCACCACATCTCACACACAATACGGAGTCATCGGCCATCAGGATAAGAAAAACGATGCCCCCACACCGACCACCAGACACACCCTGACACCAGACAGACACACACCCCAAACTGAAGTGTGTGTGTGTTGGGAGGGGGGAGAGGGGGGGGGGGGGGGGGG